CTCTTCATCTCAAATGTACCATTTGTGTTAATGCCCTTCTTTCCACCATGACACACCAAGCACAGGGCTGCTGTGAGCAGCAGCATCACACTCTGCTGTGTTTGGAGAGTAACTTACAAAGCTATCACAACCCTGCAGTACTTTTCTGTCAGTGGTGCCCAGCATCATCCTGAGGGCCTCTCTGCTCCTCTCTGGAGTAAATACACAGAAAGATTGTCCAAAGTCCAAAGGTTTGGGGCTAGGAAATGGTTACTCAGTGTTCAAAAACAGGGCATTGCCTCTCAATTTGAACATATGCCTATACAGCGTTCTCAAACAACAGAGGCACTTTGGGGAGCAGAAATATTTGTTAACCTTAGGAGTTTGAGCCTGGGAAGTTACAACAGTAAAAAGATCAACCACAGCTGGGAGATACAAACTCCAGATGTCAGGAAGGCTCCAGCCCATGGAACAGGGACCATCTGCATGTAGCATTCAAAGGAAAGGGATTTTATAATGTCATTGCTGAGCCATAGATAAGGGTGGTGTACCTGATTTCCTGATTTTCTCGAACCTGAGGTGTGAAAAACATTTCCTGCCTCTGTTGGTTGATGTGTTCTGGGGGAGTGTTCCAGGGGCCTGCATAATCCCTTTGCAGGTTATCCCTCTCGAGTCCCAAAATACTGTCAAACCTATTCCAACTTTAGCTCAGTGAACTAAAAAATTGGCAATTTCTTCAGATCAGCATGAACTTTCTGACATCTTCTTGCTCAGCTCTGCAATAGTGGGAAAGTTGTTCCAAGGCACAAAGCCACACTGGAAGCAGCCATGGGTGAGGAAAGCACAGAGCCTGCCCAAGTCCCCAGGTGGCCAACATGGCCCAAAACCAAGAGAGCTGGGGCCCAGGGCTGAGCAAGTTTTCTCTGAAGGAAACAAAGGCTTTGGCAAGAGTTTGTGGTTGTTACTTCAGGAGGCAGAAAGACCTCCAGGAAATGAACCATCTGCAGATCAGCATTAAAGTCAGATTATTTTCTGCATTTCAGAATATTCACCTCAAGCTGGTGCAAAGCCAGGGCCATCCACCCCCTTCTCTGCAACACAACACTGCTGAGTCAGTGTTCTCAGTTCACCTACCTGTCAGCTGCCTGAGTTTCAAAAACTTTTGATTGAAAAGACCTTCTGAGAAAGTGGAGAGACCTTGGGCAGCCACAATGTCTGTCTCCAAGCACGAAGACCTACAAAGCCCCAGTGCTCTGAGCCAGTAGACTGACACCAAAACAATCTTTGCTACAGTTTATTAACCAGAACAGCCTGATACACAAATTTGTGTTTGGTATTATATTCCTGTCAGATTTGTCAAACAGAAGTTATTTATGGTGTATAGGGAACAAACAACTTTTAAACGGTAATTAGAAATTTTAAATGGTAATTAGAAGATACCTCAAGCCATAAACAAATAAAACTCCATTTAGAATGGAGGACAGCCTTGTGTTCTCATGGACCCCATGTCCCAGGGATGTGCTCTCAGCTCTGCTGAGCTCCCTGACCTCCACCTGACCAAGTCACAAAGTGGAAGGGAACTGATAAATGTTTTTATTAGCAGCAGAAAGCAGAGGCAACATTGTACACAAAACGTACCCTGCTTTTGTTTCAATAAAATGCCCTTTGTATTCTAGTTATAAAGTGAGGGAGTACATGGGTCCTAAAAACCCAAAACGCTTCTCTGCAGGGACACTGAGCCAGAAACATCAGACACAGATCACAGTGAGATGCTGAATCATCCCAAAACTCCCTATGACAGTGAGGAAAAGGACTCTGAACAAACAGTGAATAATAGGAATTAAAACTGGGGTTAGCAGAAACTTCAAAATATTTTCTGGTGGCACAGTGCAGGTCTTCAGAAGTGACTCTGTCCTCCAGACACTGCCATCAGCAGACAGACATTGAGCCCTGAAAACCTTGTGAGTAGTAACACTTTGTAGGAGCAGTCACAGGAGGTGGCAGTGGCAGGGCAGAGAGCACAAGATCTGACATGAGCCTTCAATGCCTAAACTTCTCTCCCAGCAATCACCTCTCTTTCCAGGAAGGGCTTTCAGAGGAGCCTGAAAAAGAAAAGAATTTGACTTCCAGGTCATCTTTGCTGGCCTGTGACAATTTTGCTGACATAGAGAAACAGAAAAACAAGGAATTTTTCTGTCTTGCAAACTATGAGAAAAACTAGATAAACCTCAGAACCTTTCTGGTCCTCAGTAAAGCCAAATGTTCTAGAATTAAACTTTTTACTGCTACAAGCAGCTTTGTCTAGGCCTGAGCTTGAGACAAAGAATTTGAACTATTTCAGTAAAATCAGTACAGTTGATTGCCTCACTCTTGAGCTTTGTGTGTACAGGATGCAAAGACAAAAGTGAATCAAGCTACAGAGATTTGATCACAAGAGGAAACAAGTAGATAGACAGAGCTGATCATCTCTGGGTTGCCTTCATCGCTGCTTTGTTCTGGCCAGCCACTCAAAGGATCACAGGAATGTCATGACTGTCTTGTTCTTGCCGATCTGCCAGGGCTCCAGTGGGAAAAAGCGGATGACAATCCTTTTGGGTATAAGAGCAAAAATGTGGTCAGGAAACATTATTTTACAAGTAGACATTATTATTGCCCAGTTTGCAACATAAGAGAAAATCTGCACTAGGGCCTTACTGTCTTACACTTCAGGGGGTTCATTTAACAGAAGGAAGCATAAGCTGTGTATGGTCAGGGTAGAAACAGACTTCTCCCACATAAACAAAAGCACTCTGCATTTCAACACTTTAAATGTGATACTTGTTCATTTTAGAAGGAAGCACATAATACATAATCCTGCCAGGGATTTATCCTGACAGTATCCAAGAGGCAGGGAAGTACTACTATCACTCTTCTTTGGGAAGATGGGTAGGACAAGCAGAGATGGACATGGCTGACCTTCAGGAACAGCCTTGTTCCAGCATTTGCCAGGGTGAAGCTCTGTGAAGCTCTACCCATTCTGGTTGGGTTTCACACTAATTTCACCAACTGTACCTGCTGGTCTTCAGAGAACAGTAATGCCCAGACTGTTCAACAAGTGCATACAGTCTGTGGTTTCATCTAGTTCCAAACCACATGTCTGGAATTCAGCATCCACGAGCACTTAGTGTCTGCAACCTCGTCTTGAATCTGTATTACAACTTGGTCTCCTGGCGAACGTGGGAACTGCCACTATCTCCTCTACTCTGAACATCCCCTCGGTACTTGTCGTATTCCATATCCACGGACCGCACGGAGCTGCAGGCCCGATGGGAGGACGCCCTCGCTGCCCTTGGGGTGATCACGGTGCCCCCGGGCTGACCCCGCCGGGCCGCACTCACCGCTCGGGGCCGAGGCCCAGCTGCGCCGTCAGGACGTCGAAGAAGCGGGCGCTGTGCTGCTTGTTCTGCTCCGCCGTGCCCACCACGCCGATGGAGGAGACGACCAGCTGGGCGCAGGGCTCGGCCGAGCCCGACAGCACCATGGCCAGCCCGCTCCGCACCGTCACGTTCACCCGCTGCCGGGACAGGCACCGTCAGCCCCCGCCGCCCCGGTCCCGCCGCCCCGGTCCCGTTCACCTCCGCCGGTTTGCCCAGGATGTCCGCGGCGGCGGCGCACAGGCTCTGCGCCAGCCCCGGCGGCAGCCGCTCGGCCGGCAGGCTGGTGTCCAGCTCCACGAACGGCATGGCTGCCCCGCACCGCCTCTGCCTGCGCACCCCGGGCCCGGGCCGGCCCTGCCCCGCCCCCGGAGCCGCCCCGGCAGCGGAGCCGCGGCGGGGCGGGCTCAGCCCCGAGCGGCCGCAGCAGCGCGGAGCGGCCCCGCCGCAGCCCCGCTTACTCCGCCTCAGCCCGGCTGCCTGCCCGGCCTTTGGGATTCACTGTGGCCATTGCTGGGCTGTGCATTAGCGGCTGTGAGAACAAAACCATCGCGTCTCTCACTCGTGGGTAAAATGAGTTTTGTGACGGCCTTACTGCCAGTGGAAAAACATTTCAGGTCACTACAACAGACACCTCTGTGCAGGGAGGGTTGAGAATGGAAGCGCGGTAATTACCCGGAATGACCAACACTACAAGAAATTAAAAAGCAAGCAGAGAGGTTACTGCTTTATCCAACGTGTATTAATTACAAGGACTTTGAGCAGTCAGGACTTTGAGCTCCCAAGCTGGTAAGTGACCTCGGCAGGCTGGCCCACAGGGATGGTCTAATCTACAGATCAGAGGTGTCTAAACCAGAGATCAGAGGCTTCTCAGAAGCTGAGCTACTGTCCAGTGAGGTTTCATGAGCTCCTTTTCAGCAAAGGCTTATGAACCAGCTATACTAAAAGATCATCATTTAAGGCACGAAACTGTTGGGAAAATTTGCCTTGTGTAATGTGACATCTTGGTTTTCTATAATTCTAGGCAATGCTGATGAAAACTGATGAAATTGCTCATGTTTTTTTGCTTAGGGAATTGCTTGGCCTTCACTGCTGCTAGTGAAAACAATACTGGCACAAAGAGTCGTGTGCAAAAACCAGCCAGGAATAAGGCTGGGAAAAGATTTCTAGGACAGAGTAGTATCTAGAACTGAAACCTTGGTGAAAAACACCATGAGAAAACAGGTTTTTTTAGAACTTGCCAGTAAAAAATGTCACTAGCCAAGACTTAGTCTTGACAAGGTAGCACTGCGTAAAAAAAACAAAAAAGCAGTTATTTGATTAGTGAAAGAAGCAATGCCTGAATTCCATTACTCATTTTGTTTTACAGGAAGAATTTTTTGGCAAGGATTTTAGGGTAAGGGCAACAATTACTTATGAATGGAAATATACAGATATATATTCCACCAATTTCTGCATCCTTTACAATTTGTTATTTTCAGCTGAAGAAACTGGAAATGGTTGGATTTGATCAGTTTTACCTCATAAATTGTGCTGCAGTACAAAAGGATTTTGTATTTGAGCTATAACTGGGCAGAGACAAACAGCCAAGAAAAAGAGCCCAAAAGCTCCAAAACAACTCTTTGCCCTTTTATTGTGATGCATGTGTTGCTCAATGCCACAAAATCTCTCTTATTACTTCAGCTGCACAGCGTGACTTACTTGGTGAACATCCATCCAAAACAGTCTCAGAAGAGCATGTCTGCATTTATTCCCTCTCTGCATTTCCTAGGAGAAATGTGGATTGCTATTACAGTATTACCATAGGAAAAAAAACAATTTGTGCACTGCTATATTTTCTTTCATGAAAACACTGTGAATGCATTCTTTCAGGGTACTCCTTATATAATGTTAACACAGTATTTAAGGTAGGCAGTTATTCCAAGGCTGTGGCCACCAGCAGCATGGATCTCCAAGAACAGCTGCTGCCACACGTGTACTGGTAGACAGAGCACCAACAGAACCCAGGCTTTCAGAAATCCAAAGCAGCAGTTACACTGAAGAATTATAAAGATTCACAGCTGTAGATGAATACAAAGAAATTTCTCAAAGGAGCTTCAAAGGAAAAAGAAGTATGGAATGTACATGGACAGCCAAGCAACATGCCTCAACAATAAGAAACTTTTAAAATTTATTTTTTTCACTTTTGTGAAGTAGTTTTGTGCTCTACTTCTCTGTGCAGACAAATGCTGGGAAGATGAGGATCAGGCACACTTTGCAGGACAAATGTTAAAATTGAAAACAATGATCCTCATCCTATTCAGTTCTTTAATGTTCCCAATTTATAGTCTGGCTTGAATTCTGTCAGGAAATACCATTCTTGTCTCTATCATCTCTGAGAAGACTGACACTGAAATAAAATTCAGATAAACATTGAGTGACCTGTAGGACCTCAGCCTTCTGTTTAAATTTAACATTTTTAGGTCTTAAACTTTCCTCAGTTTCCACCCCAAAAAGATACAAGAAGGACTTGGCCTGGGGGAAACACTTTGCGATTTCTGTGTTAGAATTACAGTGCTCTTTCCAGTTACATGTAGAATTGGATGTCAGAGAAGAAGTTAAAAAGGAAAAAAAAAAAAAAAAAGCAGGAAAAATGCTAAGATAGGTTAATTCATTTCAACATCTTCATCAACACAGGTGCCAGTTGCTCTTTCAGCTGTGGATCAATCTGAATATTGCTCAGTTCTTTGATATTGAGGATCATCTCATGGGCTTGGAAAAAAAGCTCTTTCCCCACAGCATCCTCCACCCGCCTGCGCCATTCCCTCAGCCTGGGTCTGTCTTCAAAGATGTCACAACCAACTCCAACAGGCTGCAGAAAGGGGAGAGAGTAACAGTGAGGCTTGGGGCAGTCACTTCTTTCTGAAACAACAGGCACTAAAAGTGTACTTGCAGGTACAGGTGAAGGGGGAAAAACAGGAAAAGGTCATAGAAGAGCAGTAGGAAGGAGGGAAATCTCTGGTCAGATGTACCTATCTGAGGGACACAAAAGCTAACTTGTATTTTACAGCTCAGTTCTTGGGTGCTGGAGTAGCTGTTTAATGCAGCATAGGTGACCACATTCTGTGAGTTGTTTTCAGCCATGACACTGAAAATGTGGTGGGTTGGGGTTCCAGAGAGCACTGCCCAGTTTGCAGTACAGAGTGCTGGGTTACACAGCAACACCCAGCACAAAATGTGAAGTGTTTGACTGAACCTGTGTCCTGTCTAACATAATCCACCTCCCTTCTGCTTTCTGCCTGTGCCACTCTCTGGAACACAATGTAGAGAAGCAGAACTGCTGATTTTCAGTCCCTTGGACAATCAACTGGGAGAAAGAAATCACTGCTGGGCTGCAGGATCCACCCTGGTGGTCTGGCAGGGAACAACCAGTTTGTACCAGACTTAATTTGATTGCCTCTGTCTGAGATTAATTCTTTAATCTTCCAGACATGACATGGGCAAGTATTATATTCTTGAATGATGGAAGTATTCCTACATGGTTGTCTCATTTCATCAGACCTGTCTGCTATTGCTTCTCACTTATATATAATTACCTCCTTCTCTGGTGGTTAAAAATAAAGTCGTGATAATAAATGAAGAGGTTATTGCTAGAGATGAAAAACAAAAGAGATCTGTTGCAGCCAGCTTTTTTATTTTCGCTGCTGTTCTGAACCCACTCTCAGATTCTCCCCATTGTCTTAGGCCAGTTCTGCTGAGATATGCCCTCGTTTCTCCTCCTAGTGAAGTGTTACCACATGCTGCACCCTCCCTGCTCAGCAGCATCTGTTTTCCCTTGTGCTGATGCTTCCTCACCATGTTCCAGCACTCACTTGCATCAGTTCCACAATGGCCACAAGATCTGCTAGGGAGATCTCACTCCCAATGATAAAAGCCTTGTCCTGCAGAAACCTCTCCTCAAATTGCTTCAGGGAAGTGGACAGCCCCTCCATAACCTCCTGGAGCTTCTCTGAGGGCAGTGGCTGCCCTGTGAAGAGGGGAATCAACACCTGAGGAGAGAAGGGACATAACAGTATCTGTGCCCATCTTCTCTGGTAGTAGTTATTCAATTTACACCCCATGATCATCAGTGACCTGCAATAAAGCCACGGAAGGGGATGGCAGAGCTTCATAGGCTGTGGCAGCTCCCCAGAGCTCCTGGACAGAGAACACACCAGCAATCCTAAGTGGCTGACCTGCCAGGGCAGCAACCTCCAGCTAGTCAGCAGCAACGTGCAGAACAAAATCAAGGATCCTCATCTCATTTTGTGCCTGGCAGCTGTGCCCTCCCACTCCACCCTGCTGGGCTATGAAAGAAAAATGGGCAACAGCTCCAGGGAAGACAAATCTCTGCCACAGTCACCCTTGCTACATCCTCTATGTCACCAGCAGCTGGCCAGCAGCAGCCCCTGCCAGGTGCCCTGCTGTGGAACTGGGGGCTGTTGGCAGCTGCCTGTCCCACAGGGTGACCGAGAGGGGGAATGGTGGTGGCTGTGGCAGGAGCATTGGGGACTCATCAGGCATCAACACTGGCTTCCTCTGTGTGACAGCAGCCAGCAGGGCTGGAAGTGGTCAACACCATTTTTACACAAAACTTTCTGTGGCTCAAAGCATCGTTCATAATTTCAATCTAATTTCAACAGAAGTTTTTCTGGAGCAATCACATAAGTGCAGTCCTTGTGTCTGCACAGACTTGCTGGCACAGGGAGTAGCTGCCTTTCCACAGTATTTTTGTATCAGTCACAGAGGTGTATGCACCTCTGGAGCCCATAGTGCTTCACAGCTGTGCTGCCTTCAACTTCCACAGCTAAAGAAGACAGTTTAATTAGAGAATCAAAATTAAAGACACAAATTTCAATCAGTGCAAGTGGACTGAATTTCTACTTACTGCTAGTATATTCAACAATTCAAGTTGGGATTGCTTAATCCAAGACAGGATTTTGGCCAAATACATGTGGAATCTATTTAATCAGAAAATTTCTAGCCAGTTCTCTTTCTAAGTGATTCCAATTATGCACAATGGGATCTTTGGGTAAAATCGCTTGAATCAGCATCTTCTTCCTTTTCCTTATCTCAGGGCCACCTATCTTCTCCCATTTCTAGCTAATATGCTTCTCTTACATGGTGGCTTTATATGTTTCTATATTTACAGTTATTCTGAGGACCTTTTCTGCATCTGGGCTATCTAATCATCAACACCAGCAATTAGTTGGATTACTTTCCCTTGGAGCACTCCAGTGACAGCCTGCAGAGGCTGGAAGAAGCTGCTTCTTGTATGAATCTGACTCATATTGGAATTACTCTACAGCCAAAAAATCAAATATCATTAAATTCAAGAAGATAAATGAATCCTTATATGCTTTGTTAGGCACAAACAAGGGCAAACTTTACAGTGGAGGAGTGAAGTTCTTATCTGTTTACTAGCAATCCTGATTTTATCTGAAATTCCATACCAGCTGTCCTCACAGAACTATGCTTGCACCTAGGTCTCTAGGGATAGTTGAATTAACTGCCTGCTGAGGAAATTGGTGTTTTGGTGAGGAAACTGTTGGCTGGAAATTGGTGTCCAGCAAAATCACCTGATACTAAATGATTTTCTGGCTCAGGATGAATCAGGTAATTTTGCCTAAATGTAAACTGGCCTGTGTATACTGAGTAAAGAAAATCTGCCTCTCAGTGTCTCTCCTCTCTGTCCCTGAGGCTGTTTCAGAGAAGCACATAAGTGTGCTGGAAGCAGAAGACTCCTGGATTTCCACCCTAAGGAGGCTGCAAGGACTTGTATGAAGAACACAAGTCTTTCTGCTTCCACCAACAAAACACATGTTCACCAAAGCCAAACTTTGTGCACACTCTGCACAGCTGTGCAGGGAGGGGGAGGCCCTTGGAAGCAATACTAAATCTGTGACATATTCTCTCACAAATCCAGGCAATGAAAGCCTGTTGGGTTTGAGACCTTCTGTAGTTGACCTTCTTTAAGGGAAAAGCCAAAATGACCAAATCTGCTTTTGCCAAATCCTGATGTTGATCAGTTTGGAACATCTCCCTCTCCAACAGCTCCTTTAGCTAGGAATGGCTCAGGTTTATTATTTCATCATGACAAACTGTCTCTGAACTGGGGCTGTTAAAAAGTGCTCAGTATTCTCACAGGAAAACATCACTTGACTCACGTTTTTACATTCAGTCTCCTTACCTTGATCCACATGGTTTTAGGAGCGTTAGCCCTGATGTTGGTGTGGTGCCAGGAGAGGTACTCATCTACCCGGGCCCGTTTCTGTATGTCTGAGGGGTACCAGTGGTCAGGAGTGTTGTACTTTCGACTCAGGTACAGCAGAATGGCAGTGCTGCTCGCGCATCAGCAGAGACAAGAAATGCGTCAGGCAGTTATGATGCACAATGCTTTTGCCTAAGCTCCCTCTCCTGCTCCTTCTCAACTTGTTGCTTCCACTAAAAAGCATTTAGATCAGGATTTCCAGTGGAGTCAGGAGTTCCAGTGCCACATAAAGGCATTTAATTCATATTGAAATCAGTGGCTCTTAATCACCTCAGCTTCCAGGAAAACTTTAACCTGCTGGAAAATCACAGCGCTGTTCTATGGTGCTGCTGGGCAGTATTGGGGTAAAGAAACAATAAACCTCCATGATCATCTATCAGTGATGATAGCTCCACTTGCTCCTTGCCTCTTCTGACCCATCTCTCTGGGACCTGTGCTCTTTCTGTGCTTGTGCACTAAATGAAACTCTCTGAAGTCAGTGGAAGTTTCAGCAAGAAAACCCTACAGAATCTTTTTGTGCTTGTCCAGATGTTGATACTCTCACTAACTGGCAGAAGTCAGATGGAAAAAGATCTTAGTCATCTGCAACAATACTTACACTATTAGTACAAAAAAAGATACCACAGAAAATGTGCTGACAAAATGGAAGAAAATGCAGACACCCTTACCATGCTGATACTGCTATAGTTCAATTATTTCAATATTATGGCATCATTAACCAGTCTCCATATTAATCTTTTAAAGCCTAAATTTTATCTGTGTAGATGTTCTCTCAGCCTTTAATTCAGATAAACAGAATTCTTTCCTAGAGTAAAAGTGATTTCTTTTCCTAGGGTGAAAGGAATTTTTATAAGCTTTAAACATCTCCCAGAAATGTTTATAATCCCATTTTGAGGTAAGTGCATTCAGGGTGAGATGAAGAAGCTAAGTCAGCTGAGTTGTTTACATTCTGAAAGATAATTCAAACAGAAAGTGGAAAGAGATCAAATGAGGTTATAGTATTAAAAATAACCAGCATGTTCATATATTCTGTGATCCTTAATTATTCCATGGGAATGACATCTTCCGAATGCAGCACAGATTGCTGGTACCCAAGGAAGTCAAAGGACTGAGTTCTTACCATTCTGCAAGGGTGAAGTCTCCGTCCTTTAGTGCTGGTACTTTCTTCAAGAGGCTGACTTTGCCTGCACCTTCACTATTTGATGGCCCTAAGAACATCAACAGACAAGTCTGAGGTCAGAATTGTGTCTGCCAAGAGCATGATAAATGAAATACCTGCAGCCAGCTGGATGATCAGTGAGCTGTGTGAGGTTTTCCCAATAGGTCACAGCTCACAACTGAGAGGTAATGAAATGGCAGAGTCAGCATAAGGGCTGTCTGCAGAGGGCACTCAGCTCAGTCTGGGCACATGGCATGGAACAGTTTCTACTTCTAACACGAGTTCTCTTGCTTGACTCAGGTACCAGGATACTTGCAGAACTTACTGACAGAGTGGACATCAGCTAGGGCCAGGAAAGCTCAGACACCTCAACCCTGCACTACTCCTGACTCTGTGTTACTCCTGGCTTTGCACACCAACTACTTCTAACAGGAAAATACGGGATGAAGACACCATTCTGTAAGAATTTAAACTCCACAGTCCCTTGGAGGAATTAACAGCTGACTATCTAATCAGTCTTTCAGTTTCCCACTGCTGGCACCAGACTTGCCAGTCTGCAGTTAAATGCCAGATTATTGCACAACAATTGCACACAGCCCAGGAACACCTGGGTAAGAAAAGCTGTGAGGAATTAGTTCGTTTTGCTTGTTTTAAGTGTTCCTGAGGAGACATTAAAAGTAAAGTGCAAATCCTGATCAAATCAGTATGACCAGCAGGAGGTGTTGTACAAAAATCCCTTTGTTCAAAAAAAGACAAGAAAAAGGATCATTAACTTACAGTGATCTCCGTCCCTAAGAACTATTTGTGCCCATTGAGGAAGCAGTGGCAGTTTGCTGGACAAATGTGAAGTAGGAAATAGTCTGTGGGAAATAAAACCAGCCTCTGGACAAACAAGTTTATTTGCAGCTGGTTTTGGAAGGGCTGGGAGAAGACAGGTTGCTGCATTACAATTACAGACTGCTTTTCCTTATATCAATTTCACATAATGAGTTAAATCAAGCAGAGCATACATTACCACTTGTGCTCCTTTCCAGCTGACTGGCCTCTACCTTGTTTCTTCTTTGAGAAGTGTTTTTTTTTTAAAAATTCCAGTGTAAGTAGCTTCATCAGAGACTAAGGTTTACATTCATCTGCTAGTTGAAGAGATTCAAACCCACATTTTCCCTTTGGTTAGGAAAAGCCTCTGGCTACCTGCTGTGATGATGGCTTCCAGCTTAGCTGGGTAAGAGGTTCCATCTGCACAGCAGAACTGGGCAATGCTGTCAAGAGAGGTAGGAAGCCTAGGTAGAGCTTCTTAAAAATAACAGCCTAAGAGAAAGCACAAGTTAAGCCTAATAACTGAGAAAATTGAGTATAAAAATAAAAATGTCCAAAAATCAAGCCAGCGGGCAAAGTAGGGGGTGCCTCACCCCCATGGTTTGTATCACAGAAAGACAAATGTTTGTAAATCTCCTGTCATGCAAGGAGTTGCTCAGGGAAGGTGCTTTGTTCTGTGCTTTTAGAAGGGCCCCAAAAGCCAGTGGTCACCACACACCCAGCTCTGGTGAGATCTGTGGTGTTCAGTTGGTCTTCAGAAAAATGCAGTAGAAAGTTGCCAGTCAGTAATGCCTACAGCTAATGAGCAGTCCCTTGGCAGAGCCAGCTGCTTGGTTGTCCTGCTGTCTGTGTTTATTATCCAGGGCAGCAGGAAACTAAGAAACAAGCACATGAGAAGTAAGCAGTGGGTGAGGGCAGCCTGAATCAGATTTCAGAGAGATTTCATCATACAGCAGTTCTAGCAGGAATACTGAGCATATTTATTGCCTGACAGAGCTAACAGGACATTACAGCAGGTTGGACAGTAGGTCAGTGTCTGTGACACAGCCTGCACCACAGCCTGGGGATGGCATCACATACTTTGGTTTGTACATAGATATACAAACTGTATACAAGCTGAGACTCTGACTGATCTGTGAACCTCTAAATGCCTTGGTGTGAACACTAACTCCAGGCTGCTTCATTGGGACCCACTGGTTATTGTATGAAAATAGAGACCAAGATTTGTATTTGCAGTTTAGCAGAATTTAAGCTTGTGTCTCTCTTCCAGCCAGCAGAGCCACTCTTCTTGTTTAGTGGTATTGGAAAGCCCATCTTTATCATTCCTGTGATGTTGGCTTGACTTACAGTTGTTTAACATCAGTTGTATCTGAGGTAATTAGTTGTTGATGGCTCCCAAGGATGGATGGAGATATGGATAGATAGATACAGATGCACACGAACAGTGTGTGTTGTTGGGCTTTAACAAGCAGAGTATCCACAGTCATAAAGCAGGGCAGGCTGTGACATGAGGAAATCTTAAGCATAAATCATACAGCAGAGAAGGGGGCTTATCGGTGGGTGAAAAGAGCAGTGGAGAAGATTTTATGGAAATAGAAGGGGGAAAATGCCACTCTATTTGCCAATCACATACCTGCCTAATCATCTTATCCTCAGCCATGGATTTCCAAGTAACATGTTTTGCCTTAGGCAGAAAAGTAACAATTTACTAGGAAAATGCAACATTTAACTGGGCAATAGTCATACAGTTGGAGGAGCCTGAACAGCTGAGTGTTTCCGAAAAGTACAGCATTCCCAGAGCACTCCTCGGCCGTCAGTGTGACTAATTTGCTAGAAATGGCTAGAGGAACATTCCTCGGAGAGCCACAAAAATAGATGCAGCAGAGCTACGAGACTGCTCTGCGAACTGGAGCCTCACGGTCAGACCACTGCGTTCAATGCCCCTGGGCAGAGCAGGGATCAGCATCACTCGGGTGACCCTGGCAGCTCGTCCTTCCCTCTCACCGGGCTGAAGGACGCGCTGCTGCTCCTGTGCCGGGAGGCGAAGGTTTTCCCCGGCTCCGTGAGAGCAAAGCCCGGCCAGGTCCGGCGGGCTCAGCCCGGTCCCGCGGGGGATCGCGTTACAGCGCCGAGCGCCTGCGGCCCGTCCGTGCCTCCCCGCCCGTGGGGCCACCGCCCGGGGACACGCTGGGCCTCCGGGGACCCTCCCGTCCCCTGCCCTGCCCTCACCTGCGCGGGGCTGCTCCGAGCCGCTCCCCGCCGCCGGCTTCTTCCCCAGCACCGAGTCTGCCAAGAGCCAAGAAAGGGGCTGAGCCCGCGCCCCGCCGGGCCGCGCCCGCCCCGGCCCCGCCGCCTCGGGGCAGCGCCCGTCCCACCTTTGAACAGCTCCACGTGCTTGAACTCGAAGGGGATGTTGTTGCTCCGAGCGAAGATGTAGATGGAGCGGCAGGGCTGCGAGAGCAGGTCCAGGTACAGCTCCAGCCCCATCCCGACCCGGCCCGCCCTGCGGGGAGCTGCCGCGGCTGTGCCGCCGACCGCCCGGAGCCGCCCCGCATGGGCCGGCGGGGGCCGAGCCGCGCCGGGCGGGAGGTGCCCTCCGTCCCTCCCCCCTGCCCTCCCCCGGGCCGGGGACGGAGGGAGCGGGCTCTGTGCCGTGCGGGCCGGGGGAGGAGGGAGCGGGCTCTGTGCCGTGCGGGGACCGCGGGACACCGCTCTGCCCCGGGGCGAGGACCGCAGAGTGCCGGAGGACCCCAGGAGAGCCCCCCGCAGCCGGGGCAGGGCGGGGAGGCACGGCCGGAGTTGGGACGGGGGTTACAGAGTTCCCTCAGCGTCAGGCGGCCCTGGCCCACTGTGGCTGGCATCGTGTTCATTCATCTTCCTTCAGGAAGGGAAGGCAACGAGAGTAGTGACAGTCTGCGAGTAATCAGCCTCAAAAGAGAGGTTGGTACTAAGCAGCAGGAGGGTGGGGGCTGCCACTCCCCTCCACAGCTTTGGCTGGCACCGCAAGGGCTCGGGAGCCACTCTCACCCACAGCATCCAACTACGACTCTCACAAAGTAAATGCTGAGTTTTGTAACACGGTTCTGCAGGGTTGTGGCACGCTGCAGACAGGGCCTTTGCACAGCGTCCTCTAAGGCAGTGTTAACCACGCACCACCAGATCTCAGTATGGTTTACAGTTCTGAACGTAATTCTTTGGTCACACAGTCTCTGCTGCAAGGTGACATCTGAATGGCAGTGAAGCGTGGAGGACTTCTCTGTGGACATTACATCTGCACACTCACTCAAAGTGACTTTTCTCTCTCCATGGTATTTGTCACTTCAGATTTTTGTGCAAGTGAAGGAGAACAAAAGAAGCTCAATTGAGGAGAACTCAATTCAAGCCCTTGCACTGAGCCCGCAGCGTTTCACAGCTGTGTGATTCAAGGTGACATGCTGGCTGAGTACAGGGACTTCTGGGACCTGGGAGATAGAACAGCTGAACCACTCGGGGCAAAGTCACCCCAAATCAAACCCACCTCAGCTGTGCTGACACCTTGCTATCAGTGTTGCGCCAGAGAGCTTGTATGTCACACACAGATCTTTGGAAAGAGCCATGGGAATCTCAGGGAGAGGGAACTGGAGGATCAGTTGCTCTTTTTGTTGTGTAAAGGATGGTGAAAAGGCTTGGATACTGAGCTGGGAGTTTGTGGACTAGACAAATTACAAACTGGAACATTTCCAGGGGTTTAGAACTTTCAGATTTAGAAGAGCACTGCGAGAATTTTTCAGTTTCTCAGCCAGCAGGGGCTGTGCACACCCTTCAGTTCCCCTGCAGCACAGTTCACCCTCTCGAGCAGCTGCACCCAGCACTGGCATGCTGGAGATCTTGGCTCAAGAGTATTGTGGCAGGTGCTTGAGCTCAAACTCCTTCAGTGCAAAGGAATCTTAAATGTTAAGGGAGTGAGGAAAATGAACATGAAAGTGGTTCTGCACAGGTAACAGTCAGAGAAGTCTTTGTGCTTCAAAGTGCTCCCATGCCCATACTCTGAGCTGTCATTGAGAAGAGTGTTGATCTCAGCAGTGTGCAGCAACATTAGCAGTGTGGGTTCACTTTGCTCCTTTATTCATGGTTCATTTGATCCATTAGTCCTATCTGAACTTCAAAGGTCTTTTCATATGCCTCCTGGAAATGTTCCTTCCTTAAGTTTTTCTCCAATTTGCTGACTGCACTGCACAGCCCACATAACCAAAGAGGTATTTTTATCTGGTTGTGTTATAGGCCATTTGATTGATTATTCCTGGCTCCAGGCTAGTGCTTCTAGCACTGTATTTTCATTTCACTCCGTCACCTCAAAGACCATTTTTCCTGCCCTTATTTTCTCTGTCAGCATTTTAGAAACAGGAACAAGACAGAAAAAATAATGCATTAAGTTTTGCAGTTTATTTCTTAATCATTTAGAAAAAGTCTCAGGATGTTTTTCTGGTTTTTAAACATTCATCCTATTTTGTGTGTTACAGCTTCATTTTATTCCTGAAATCATAGTTCTCACTTATTTCCAAATAGCCCTGGGAAGAACTGAGGAAGTCGAATCAAACCAGTTCAATGAAGCTGACACGTTAAGCTGACAGTGGAGGTGTAACCCCTCTCCCTTTTCAGGGTGAAAGGGGAGTGGACACTCAATAGACCTTGTACCAAGGCAAGCAAATCTCTTGCACAATCTGTTGGGTTTTGGCAGGCAGCTCCCAGGGCTTTCAGTCTAGGAACTGGAACCAGACAAGATCCAATGACACAAAGGAACAAAATACAGAGGTGGAGGAATAGCAAAAGGCAAAGTACAAGGATGAGCAGTCTTAGCTCCATGATTTAGAGAAAAGAACAAGGCAGATTTATCTGTTTTATAACTCCGTGGTCTTCCAAGTACTCTAGGGAGGTGCTTTGTCCTGTGGGAATGGAAGGGTTCAAAATGCCACAGGTCACTGCATACACATCAGACAGAAACTACGGGGAAAACAATTTAAAATCCCTTCCTGTCATCATGACCAGGCTGGAGTGAGGCAAGTGTACCTATCCTTTGTGAAACAGCAGTGGAGGAGCACCAGAGAGCCAGCTCTGAACAGAGCTCCAGCTTGGTTTTGAAGGCAGCTGTCCTTGCAAGGAGTGCACAACGTGTAACATTTAAGGAACTTGTGCCTCATTCCACCAAGCAGAAAGTTGGCTCAAGACTCTTACGTGGAGCTCTTGTGCTACAAGTATCGTAAATAAAAAAGTTTTGAAAACACACTTCATTTGCCTTGGCTTGTGCAATGGTTTGCATGCAGAGCAGCCCTATCTGGAGATTCTGCAGGGAAATGTGTGTCACAAAAGGCTCAGTCCTTAAGTCCATTTTCTGTCAAGATCTGTCAAGATTAGTACCCTACAAAACAGACTCTTGGTTTTGACTGTTTCTCTGCTCTATACTTGAACAGAAAGCGTGGTAGAATGCTGGTAGAAGTCTTCTCTCTCCAAGAAAGGGAAAAGTTGAAAGTCAGAGAAAATACAAAGGTGCCAAGAGCAGAGTGCAGCGAGGCTGGGCAGTCTCAGTAAGCAGCAAAGGCAGCTCTAACTGCAGGGGCACAGAGCAGCCCAGCTGGTGCATGTGGTGAAGCTGCAGTTACAGGGAAGGAAGTGGTTGGTGGTACAACGTAAACACCTCTTGAGGCTCAGCACTCTGGCAACTGCAGCAGGACAGTGTCACCAGGGATTGCTGCTCAGGCACCAGGCATGCAAGCACTCTTAGGGCCAGAGAGAGCTGCTGTCTTTGACTTTGCTTGCTGGTATGCAACAGGCCCTTCTCAACAAATTTACCAATAAAAAATCAGGTAAGAAGACAAATATCCCTGCATGCGTCAGCATGGAAAGGGAGAGAGTTTGAGGGCAAATTTGCCTTTTTATCACTGACATTGAGGATTTCCTGTAGGTTGGAATAATGGAAAGTAAAGGCACAAGCCTGCTTGGCTCCTATAGCTCAGCCTGCAGGCATGTGCATTGCAGACTGTGGTTCATGTGGCCTTTTGAACTAAAGGGCAGGTTTACTCAGAAAACAAACAGGAAAGCCAGCTGGCTTATTCCCCAAAAACAGCAGATCCAACTGAAAGAATGTGTGAGACTTTGAGCAGCTACAGTCACCATTTCTGGGCACTGTAATGACTTGCATTCAGACAACTGGCATCTCACACCCAGCATACTGTGCAGCTTTCCTTGTGGATGGTGTAACCAGCAGCAGAGACAAACAAACTTCCAGGTACAAACACAGCTTAACAAGGAGGGGAGAAAAAAATTCTGCAAACTGGAGCCCTCCTCATGGAGGCCTGTACCTGGAAATGGGAGGTCACAGGACAGGAGAGCAGGAAAGCAGGGACACAAAGGGACACAGGCAAGAGGTTATGAAGGGCTCTGCACAGGTGTGAATGATGACTTGATGTCCACTTCCTTCTAAATCCTGATTCCAAATCCAAACAGAGCTACGACACCTGGCCAATGCAGCCGTTGGCTTTACGGAGGATCCAGCGAGACTGCAGAGCAGTGGAGCATTAACTATGTGTGGGACATTCCTCAGCTCGTGTACTGAGCTCTCTGCTCACCTGGGGCTGGCCAGCACAGCTCCCTCTGCCACCAGCACTAGCTCAGTCTTCACAGCCCTCAGTGCTGACAGCCTGGCCAAAATGGTTTCTTTTGTGCTGAGAAACCACTCTGGGAGAGGCACAGAGCACTGATGTGGTTTGCCGGGGGGACCGTGTGGTTGGCAGCAGCTTGACCAAGAAAAGCAGCTTTTTTCCACTGTGCAGGATGTTCTTTGTAGAGTGTAGCATGTCTCTGGGTGAGGAACTTTATTGACTGTCCTTGCCAGAAGCTGGAGGCATCCTTTGGGCACCAGCACAGCTCCCAGCTCCTGGGCACTGTGTCCCTTCGCTCTCACAGGTGATGCAGCAGCATCTAGTGGTCAGGTGTTCTAAGGGCCTTAGCAGGGTTCCCATCAGGGGCTGGCTCCTGACCTGTCTCTTTCCTAAAGAGCAAAAATCTTCCAGCAGACTGTTTTCACTTGACAAATTGAAAACCATCTGCTACAATGGTTCTTCCTTGTTTAAGACACCTGTTCTGCCATATCCTCAGGAAACCTTTGCTCTGGCCTGGAAAACTCAGAACAGAGATGGGAGGGCAGCTCTGACTGCCGCTGTTCCCACACAGACTGAATCAGCTCAGCCCTGAAACAGATCCAGTGGTGCTGGTGCATGAAAGAAAAGCCTACAGGCTACAGTTTATATATATTTATATTTGTCTACAGGCTACAGTTCCCATGCTGCAGTGAGCAAGAGGGAAAAGCAGCTCATGGCAGTCTAAGATGTGTTTTTCTTCCCTTCTAAGTTGCAGAAAGGCTGTGAGTGAAGGGAAGTGCATTTTGTGGAATGGTGTTTCTGTACAATTTTCAGAAGAAATGCTGAAAGACTACAATGAGCCTTCAGAAAATAATCCATTTTATTAGAGCATAACCCTCTAATTCAGGCTGTACTGCTTTAGGAGAT